CCCTAAGGTTTTTCGAAGCTAGCGTAAAAACGGCGGCGCGCAGCGCCGCCAAATTTGGCACAGCCTATGGGGCAACCTTTTTACATATGACCTGAAAATTTCAGGTCCGGGTGACCTTGGGTCAGGTCACCAGGTCAGAAAAACCGGTACAAGGTCATGGTCAAATTTCAATTTTCTTTTTGCACCTGTCCAACTCACAGTTTTGGACTGATTTCCTTCAAACTTTCAGGATGTGCTAAGTTCACCGAGTTGTATAACATATAGTTCGGGTTTTTTGAGGTCACTGACCTGAGGTCAGTTAGAGGTCATTACGTCGTAATGTTAAGCCTATGGGAAAATACTAAATTCGGAAAATACTGGAGATATCCGCTTCGTTCTATCACTTTTGTGCTTTGAAACCACAGTACTTAACAGCAGGTCACTTGGTGCTTCTTTGTTTGGTGTACTTATCCATGGGTCAGGTCAAATGAGGTCAACTGAGGACAAATGACGTTTTTGCCAATAACTTGGCACATAATGAGATTAGAGCTTAAAAAATGGTATCATTGTGTTCCTGGTGATCAGCCGAATCGAATGATATGCGATATGATGCAATTTAGTTAACTTGAACTTAATATATTAATTTAAGTTTACTTAAAAGTTAAGAAAAACTTTAAGTACACTTAAGCAAGCTAAAAAGTATATCATTCGACGTGCCTTGACGTGCTGAGTTCACTGGTGCTTTTCTTTTTGCTCTATCTTAATTAGATCAAAAGTTATAAGCGAAAAAACTTTTGACCCGTTTTTAGCGAAATTTTTACATTTATACCCCCCCCAAAACCCCCCTAAATATTGACCTAGAGCAACCAAATTTGCACAGGGGCGAGAACTCCAGGGGCCCCACCAACCTACCAAATTTGGTGTTTCTAGGTGCCATAGGAGCCAGTCGCGAGGGGGGGTCGCATCGACCCCCCCCCCCTGCCAGGCCGTGTTATGAAAAATGCCCTGCCAGGGCGAGGGAATCCGCGCCCCGTTGGGCTCTGCCGAGCAACGCGCCCCGTTGGGGGGGCCATTTTGGCCCCCCCTAAGATCTCGAGAACCACGCAACGTAGCGACAAGCGGCAAACGGTGCTGGATAGCCCTATCAGGGAACTACCTTGTGACCCAATTTTATTGACCTAGGTCAAACCGATGACGTCACAGGTCAGGTCAAAGGTCCAATTTTCACCGTTTACAGGCATTTCAAGAAATGCGTTGTAAAATCGAGTAAAATGCATTTCATTGAAAATCATCGATGGGGAAATGTTCTTCAAACACATATTTTGCTAGTTGAGGTCACTGATACCAGGTCAGGTCACTGAGGTCAGGTCACTGGGGGGTCACAATATGAAAGTGTCGTGTGATACATGTTTTATGGTCCATTTTACATGTCAAATGCGATTATGTGGGTCAGGGAGCCTTTGGGGCCAGCTTAGGTCACGTTTTGGTCAAAGTCAGGTCAAGGTCAGGTCAAGGTCAGGTCAAATAAGGTCAAATTTCAAAGCTGATATTTTTGAATAAAATGGGTATCGAATCGATGCAGCTCGTCACGGGGAGTTCAATGGTGGTCTTTGTTTTGCCGTGCGAGGTCTAGAATCGCTAAAAATTGAGTTCAAAAATTTGACGTCATCATTTTTGAACAGTTTTTTCGCTATAACTTGGCCAAAAAACGAGATATCGATCTGAAATTTGGTATGTATATAGAAGAGCGCAGGGACTATCACATATATTCCGGTTTTTTCGAAATTCGGAAAAAATTTTGGATTTGTTTTTAGTTTTTCTAAAAAAATCAATTTTTTGAATTTTTTGGGTCAAAAACCCAAAATTTTGAAAATCCGAGATAGCAGTTTTGTAGCGCCGCTTTTTGTCTATTAGACCATATAAAGAACTTTGAAATTGCTTGATAACTGTAGATTTGGTGAGCGTTTCAAGATTGCATGTTTTTTGCTCATTTTTGCTCGAACATGACCTCAGTTTGACCTCAATAACTCCTGACCTAAGGTGACCTAAGACTTGAAATTTGGTGTGAAGGTGTCAAATTGATGCTCGGAAAGGTACTGAAAATTTGGCGGCGCTGCGCGCCGCCGTTTTCTTGCTATTCAGGAAAAACCACAGGGGGGGGGGGCCAAAATGGCCCCCCCAACGGGGCGAGGGTTAACCCTCGCCGGACCTATTGGTTTTCTACATACGCGCCGGCCGAGGGGGGGGGGCGGGTACGACCCCCCCCTCGCCGTTTCGCCCCTGGTGGAGCTAGCGCGTCGCGGAAAAAACGAGCGTGTGCGCCGTTACGAGACGCAGAGATTGGTACCCGATTTTAAGGTCCTAGGTCAACCGGTGACCTCTGAGGTCAGGTCAAGTGCCCCAGGGTACGGTTCAGTTTTTGGTGAATAGCTTCGCAACAAACGGCCGCAGAGCCGCGATTTTGGCAGCATCGTGTTCGCCTCGCTCAGGCGCGTCGAATGATATACTTTTTGTTCGGGTCAGGTCAACTTAGGGTGTTGACCTCAGGTCAAGGTCAGGTCAGCACCCCCAGGTCACGAAGTTGGTCGAAAGAGGTCATGTAGCATATCATTCGATTCGGCAGGTCTTCCTGAGTCCATTGGTGGCTTTCTCGACACGCTAGCTCAATTTGATCGGGAGTTATTGACGAAAAAACTAATATGACCTTGATGACGTCATAAATGACGTCACGGAAGGTCAACATTGTAAAAGTGACGCATCTAACCTTGCAAGGAGTGCATCAAATCACGATTCTGTGTGCTTGAGATAGTTGAAGATCGTTCCCGGCACCAGAATAGCAGTTTTCATTTTTTCCCCATTGACTTATAATGGTGAGGTCACGAAAATGACCTGACCTCATATGACCTTTAGGAAAAATCCGAGATATGCAAGTTGTGAGACTCATAATGGATACTAGATCCTGCAAGTTTCATTTCCCTGTGACATCTCCTCTAGCAGTGAGGGCGTTGCGAAGTTGCGACATCTGAAGACCGTGCAGAGGTTCACTTATGACGTCATAGGTCAGTGACCTGACCTGACCCAAAAGTGCGGTTGGTGTCAAAAGATGCGGCTTAGATCAAAGGTCAGGTATGCCAAGTTTCAGCTCTCTATGGCCAGCGTGTTCGGAGCTATCGCGAAAAACCCCTATGGGGGGGGGGCGGCACCCGCCCCCCCCCCTCGGCCGGCGAGGGTTAAATAACCTGCTGAATAATGATATTTAAGGATAACGATGCAGTAGGTATTGCTGAGCGCTGCATGTATGATATATTACATGTTCATAGACTACCGTTGTAAAGACACCGTAGAACATAGACCTCTTAAGTAGAGTGGTGTATGATATGATGTTCAGTGTTCACTGTACGCTGTTGTATACTTGCACAGGGCTGCATCCGCCATTGTGACCGTGTCAATAATTGAACCGATGGAGACAAACATTAAAGGCGAAGTCTTGCATGGTTAAGAATAAGGTTTCCATAATTTAGTATATCGTGCCATTTTAAACTTTCATCGGCACAAACCACTCCTTCCTCCCATTCTGCGCTCTTCGATGGCAGCCCTGGGCACAGCGGGAGATAGCACATCCTCACACATAGCGGGCCAAAACCTTCTCGGAAATTCAGCACAGGGTGTGAAGGTGCGGGACTAGCCTGAGACTAGACAGGCCTGCCGTCCGATTCAATTAGGGAGAACGTGGCATCAGAACGTCCTGGCACGGCGCTGCAACTACAGGCCACTAAAGAAAACACGCGCCGTTAATTCATTGTGATCTGCAGCTCAGAATATAACAGAATATCAAACGAATCACAGAATCAGAATCACAAACGAAGCTCTTAAATTACACATTGTGCGGTAACCTGACAAAAAGTCAAATGACAAAAAGTCAAAAGACAAAAAGTAAAAACACAAAAAGTCAAATGAAAAAGTCAAAAGGGATAAAAGTCAAATGGAAGAAAGTCAAAATGTATAAAAGTCAAAACGTCAAAAATTTAAAAGTAAAAAGTAAAAAAAAACGAAAAGTCAAAACAGCAAAAAGTCAAAAAGGAGAAAAGTCAAACGTGAAGAGTCAAAACGGATAAAAGTCAAAAGCAAAAAATCAAATGCGGGAGGTCAAAACAGATAAAAGTCAAAATGTAAAAATCAAAATGGATAAAAGTCAAAATGTCGAAAGTTAAAAATAAAAAGTCAAACAGACAATACCTAAGTCAAAGAGATAAAAGTCAAATGACAAAAAAGTCAAAGAGACGAAAGTCAAATGGTAAAAAAATCGTCAAAAGTCCCCTGTTATTACGTGTTTTTCAGATGAATATTATTGAAAACACATTAATATGAAGTCCTCTTATTATCTTATTATGAAGTCAGACCATTCAACGACTTGAGCGAAAACAAGCTGCCCTTATCGATGTGGATTGTGCAATGTGCAACCATATCAAAAATGAAGCCACGCCAAGCCCTTTGAGCCCCAACTTCACTAAGTTGATAAATTTATGACTCGATCAACAAACACTTTACGGATTAATTACGATGCCCTTATCACTAGCATCGCTACTTGAAAGCCCTCAGCGAGGAAGGAGTGGATAAAGCCTGTGGTGTGTCCAATAAGAAGACTGCTGCCCAGATCAAGGCAGGCCAATGCATTATGGGCACTCATATTATTTGGATGGTCAGTGTTCCAAACTATAGGGGAAAGGTAACGGCCATTGAACTATATAAGTAGCTATGTAGTAGCACGTATCATAGGTCAACGGCGGTATCATCATAGGTCATAGGTATCATAAGTCAATAACATAGGTCATAGGTCACTCTCCACTTCCCGGTCCTCTTCCCGATATCTCTCCCCCCCCCCCCCATTCATTCTTCCGACTTCCGCAGTCCTCCCCGGTCCTCCCCCGCTCCCCCGGTCCTCCCCCGGTCCTCCCCCGGTCCCCCGGTCTCCCCCGGTCCTCTTCCAGTCCCCATCCGGTCCTCCCCCGGTCCTCTCTCACCTGGCCGGCGCAGCACGCTCCTGCAGCAGGCGTGCGAGCTCTGGCAGCAGCCCAGCCACTTGGCGGCGTACTGGGGCTCGGCGAACGTGGCGGAGATGGTGGCCGTGGCCGCCGCGTCCGACGCGTTGGCCAGCACCGTGACATTGCCGTCCAGCGAGTACAGGTACTGGGGGAGCGGCCCGGGGACGGTCAGCGGTCAGCGCTCAGCGGTCAGAGGTCAGCAGTCACAGGAGTCAGTTCAGTGGTCAGCGGTCACAGTGCAGTGGTCAGGTCATTGGTCATTGGTCAGCGGTCAGCGGTCAGCGGTCAGCGGTCACAGAGGCTAGCGGTCACAGTGGCCACAGCGTCGTGTTGCGCCGAACTCTGATATGCATCGCTTATAACGAGTGATCTTGGCAGATATTCGAATGCTGACAAAGATCGCTGAAAGCTGACAGCACGTCAAACATAATACGTGAATTGAGACATTACTCATAGCTTCCTGCGCTTGAAATGTGAGACATACTACCTATTCCATATGGAGGAGTAGGTCATGGGTGGTTGTCTTGAGCGCCCGGGCGCCAAATAAAACAACGCCTAATGCGAATGACACAACGGATCACCCCGATTCGCCCATGTCCGGCTTAGCGATATAATTTTATTGGAAACTCTAACGCACCGCATGTCACTGGTGGAGCGTGTTTCCCGCAGTAGCACGGTTCTTTCGCCACAATGGCTTAATATTGTAGGGACATAGTTACATATGTGCCCAGAGACGTGCTGCTCTGAAGCATTAAGCCATCAACCGCCGAGTTGGGAGAGTGTGCCTCTTTGGATAGGTCGCGTGGAGGATGTGTTGTGCACGTAATTGCAACTAAGTGAAATATGTGTGAAGCAGAGCAAACAGTGAGCCTCGTAAACAAAGACTATGTAGGTACGGGAAATGATCGCTGCAGCCACCAGTCCCCTCTGCAGCCACCGCTGCAGCCACCAGTGAGTGACACCCACCAGCCAGCTATGGCCAGGGTCCTCTGAATTTGCTCTAGGTTTGGGACGCGCGCTGGGGGCTCGGTCAGCCACTCACGTAGGTGACGGCGTCGCTGCCGTCGTGCCTCCGGAAGCGGTGCTGTCCGATCTGCAGCCGGCCGTCGGGCGGGAACCACTGCGGCCCGGCGTACGCGTAACACCAGGCGCACGTGACCAGGTCAAACTCGTCGGCCGGGTAGCCGAAGCCGTCCCGGAACCGACACACATCCGGCGTGGGCGGCTCCTCGGCGCCGGCCGTCTGCGGGGTACACGGAGCGCGGCGTCAGCGGCGCCCGCACTGACGGCACTCCAACTCAGACAGCCACACTAGAGGGAACTGATCAGGAACTTGGGCGCTCAAGAAGCTGATCTATAACGTCAGAGGCGACCAAGAAACTTATTATGTGGCGGCCGAGCTCCCCATTGGCTTTCATGTTGGGGATTACGATCAAAGAATAATGTTGTCACACTGTAGAGATTCTAATTTTTACAGATGCTGCTCATTAAAATGGACTCACGGTGGAAGCAACCAGGTGGGTGACGGCACGTGATCGCCTGAGGCGGTGGGGGGGGGGGGGGGTAAAATATTTTCGTCATTTAATGCTAAATGCAATCGCTGCGACTTTTTACAAGACCTTCTCCTCGTCGCTGTTTCTAGCTTTCAACGACTTGTCCCCGAGTGATGACTATCCTCACGCAAGATAGGATGAATGGAGCCAGCAAGTAAGCCCAAAAAACAGCAAAAATGTTACAAAACACTTCTTTTGATGGAGATGAATTGAATGGTTTTGGAGCCTCACGAAACATGTTTCAGATATGACTCGTCACACAAACTGACGCTGTAACTTGTAAGACTGTGTTCAAAAGTGTGAGCGGCAGCTCCGCAAGCACTTGTTGACGAATGGAAAGCGTAGGTACTGCCCGGTCGCCATAGCAACAAGTAAGCGTCACAAATTTCGAACACTATCCGAGTGCGCCAAGTTCGACTACATCGAGGACGATGGGTGATGGTTGCCAGCTGATTAAATTAATGAAACGCGAATAAATTCAACTTTTGTTTGAGATTGCGAGTAAAAATGGGTTTGTTAATTTCAAACATCATTGAATTAGTTTATGTAGATAAATTAACTACAAACGCCTCTGTGCAAAGTGTCTCAAAAATTATTTAAAGCTTATGAAAATCGTGAGTAGGGTTGGGAAAAGCAGGGAAAAGGATCACGTGACTAGCGTCCCAACCCAACCTTACCTGTAAGAATCTTGGGAGCAACCGTGCCATGCCTGAAATCAGGAACATGAATACTTGCAAAAATTGACTTTCGAATAGCAAATTGTTATCATATTTCATTTTATGCTAGCTAACTCGCGTCAAATGAAGTTTGTTACCGTCCTGTCTCAAAATGTCGTTCGTAGGTATTTATTATGCTTCAAAAGGACTTTGAGGCCGGATCATTCGCTGTACGGGTATCGGTTGACATGAAAACGAAAGAATAAGGATTCACCGTGAAAATGTTGTACTTTTGCCACTATTTATGTTCCTGATTTCATTCATATAACTGCACTGCCAGCCGCTTTATTGAGCATCCGCAATTCTTCGGTGCTCTTCAGTTAACAGTAGCCGTTTTCGTGACGGCCATCTGATGCCGATTTGGTGCAGATTGGGTCAAATGACGTTCAGTGTGTTCTTAACCCTCGCCCGTAAACGGTGTTTTGCCACCTTCGCCCATATTGGTGCGACACCCCCCCCCCCCCCCCACCCCCTGGCGTTTGAAAACGGAGCGTCGTAGAGCTTAGCGGAAAAGACCACCAACGGATTGCTCTCAACGAGATCTCGCGATTGGTGGTATATTTTTTGGTCCTAAGTCAACATTTGACCTACTTATGACCGGTCAAAGGTCAAATTTTCTAAAAAATCTAACTTTTTCAGATTTCCGCGCCGATTGCGGCAAAACGGTAAGAGATATCGACTTGAAACCTTTACTATCGTGATCCTTGATCAATTCTCTATCGTTTGGTCTGTGTTTTGTTTCGATGTCATAACTCTAAAAATGATGCGTTGGGAGCATCGGAAGTCTGCAAGGTCATTTGTGCATTGGGTCACGTCAGGCGTGTGACGTCACTGACCTGACCCTGACCCAAAATGAGCCACAAGAAACAACCGAAGATGCCTGAAATGGATAGCAAATTCGAATTCAGGGCATCAAAATGCCCCGAAAAGGCATACAAGTGCAAGAAGTCATTACAGGTCAACCGAGGTCACTGACCTTACCTTGACCTTTAGTAACCTTCAAAAGGTCAACGGACATTGTGCCAATGTCAAATCAGCCAGTTGTGATTCTAAAACAATCCATCAGTGTGTCAGGTCAGTCGGCATTTATACCAATGTGAAGCAATCTCCAATTTAGCGTAAATCTGGCCGGAGGTTGTTCCCTTTATGACGTCATAACTCCGTGACCTGACATGACCTTGACAAAACAAAAATACCAAAAGTTGCGCAAAGGATGCCCCAAAAGGTACTGAAAATTTGAGCAGGCTATCTGAAATTGTTCGGCGTGTAGCTAAGAAAAACCTCAGGGGGGGTTGCACCAACCCCCCCCCCCTACATGAGCGAGGGTTAAAAGTTATCAGTTTGGGCTCCACAGATGCTTAGACTCGTTTACATCATTTTTCTTAAAACTATTAGACGTTGTTTTCGATTAATACACTGAAAAAAAATCATGATACGAAGATATTTATCGTAAAAGAGATTTGGTGCAGATTTGGTCAAATTAGGTGCATTCGCCAGATAGCCTGTCTTGAAAACGGCTAATATTATCATTTGCTCACACGTTGTGTGCTCACGTTTTATGCTCTTCCTCTGGCATACAGTTCTGTCTAAGGCGTTCAGATTTTTTTTTTTTTGTAAAATATATGCCTCAAAATGGAAGTCAATGGGACGCATTGATGTCAGAAAATTAGTTTCTTAATCACTTCTGACGTCACGAATCAGCTTTTGAGCGGAACAGGATGTTGATTATTTCCCTGTAGTGTCCACGATGAACTGTGATGTGGTTATTTCCCTGTGGTGTTCACGACTGAACTGATACACACTGTGACTGATCCATACTATCACACACCGATGATCCACAATGATCCACACTGTCATACACTGGCACACACTGATCCACACTGATCCACACTGATCCACAGTATTCCTCAGGGTGACGACCAAACGCGGCACGGATGCATGCCTGCCGCTAAGACTGGCTCGTGATTATGTGACGAAAGATTAAACTTGCATTAAATGTATGCACTATGCACTCTCTGAAATCACGACTGAGCGCCTGATGGGAGCGATCGAGTACTCAGTGCCGGATGAAAAGGCTGAATGCGGGAGTACAGGGGCAGCTTCGTGGGTACTGCGTGTCTTCCTTCCTGGTGTGTGGATACCTGTCGGGAGCTGACGACCGTGGTCGAGCCGCGGCCTAATGGCTATTGACAACCACTCCAAGTAGCGCGGACCTAAACAAGGCCGTCCTCCGAGTTCAAAGATGTCGCCCAGCGTGTCCTCTTATCGTCCGATAACAATGAGTTTACCTAATGGAGGTCACACGAGTGACCAGCCAGGCGGTTGGATTCAGCTGGTCAGCTGCTCGGCTTGTTTTCTTCCGTCACTTCGATAACAATGACAGTGATTTATACCTGCATTGTAAATGCACTTGAATTACATTTGAGAGCTAACAGCTGCTGTTTGTGAAGTTGAATGTTATTTCAACAATTGTACAGTGTTTATTGCTATTATGCCCCTATGAACTGACGGCAAGTTCTCTATGCGCTGCAGGAAGCAGTAAATGTGATGGATCTGTCACTCCCACCATCAGTCGGTTTAGGCGCGGCCCTGTCGGCGGCGCGGGCGGCGCTCACCTGTTGGGGCAGCAGGTGGGTCAGCAGCGGCAGCAGCAGCCCGGCCGGCAGCCTCATGTCGGCTCGGACCCGCCTCCCTCCCGCACCCCTGGCACGACCGGACGGCGCGGAGCGCGGCGGACGACTGAGGACGGCCGCGGACCGCCCGGCGGCGGCCGGCGGCGCTGACCGGCGCGCGCCGACAGATAACGACGACACGCCGCTGACCGGCGGCGATAAACGCACGGACATTGTCCCACTGTCCGTCCCACTGTCTGTCCCACTGTCCGTCCGACTGTCCGTCCGACTGTCTGTCCCACTGGTCCGTCTGGCCGTCTGTCCGTCCCTCCGACTCTCCCACTGGTCCGTCCGTATGTGTCCGTCCGTCCGTCCGACTGTCCGTCCGACTGTCCGTCCGTCTGTATGTGTCCGTCCGTCCGACTGTCCGTCCGACTGTCCGTCCGTCCGACTGTCCGTCCGACTGTCCGTCCGACTGTCCGTCCGACTGTCCGTCCGACTGTCCGTCCGACTGTCCGTCCGACTGTCCGTCCGTCCGACTGTCCGTCCGACTGTCCGTCCGACTGTCCGTCCGAGTGTCCGTCCGAGTGTCTGTCTGTTCCTCTGTCCGTCCGACTGTCCCACTGGTCCGTTTGGCCGTCCGTCCGACTGTCCGTCCATCCGTCTGTTCTTCCGTCCGAGTGCCCGTCCGTAGGTCTCACTGGTCCGTCCGTCCGACTGTCTGTCCGTCCGACTGTCTGTCCGTCCGACTGTCTGTCCGTAGGTCTCACTGGTCCGTCTGTCCGTTCCTCTGTCCGTCCCACTCTCCGTCCGATCCGACTGTCTGTCCCACTGGTCCGTCCGTCCGTCTGGCCGTCTGTCCCACTGGTCCGTCTGGCCGTCTGTCCGTCTGTCCGTCTGTCCCACTGGTCCGTCTGGCCGTCTGTCCCTCTGTCCCTCTGTCCGTCCGACTGTCCCTCCGACTGTTCCCACGGTCCGTCTGTCCGTCTGTTCGTCCGTGCCCGCGGCTGTGTAGGTATCGACCCCCATCAGTTTTACTGCCGCTTGTTCATCGACCATTTTTTTTTTCAGCGAGCATTTTTACATTGACGAAAAGCTGTTTCATAACAGGTATACCGACTTAGGTATATGTTGTAATAGTTGTGGTCTTAAATTAACGGACACTGCTGGTTACCTGCCCCATGCGGCTGAAGCGATAGCCGTGGCAAGCTCTCGCCGGACAATCCTGGACGAACTCTAGTCGGAAAGCTTCCGACCTCTGCTCCGATCTCCGGCACGTCGATCACGTCCCGTCCTAACAAAGGCATGGCGCCGTTCCGGTGGCAGTGTGTGAAACTGCTTCAGTCTGCTCTGGAGAGCCACGATCCACCGACTACTCAGCACCACCGAATGTTGGCGCACCGCCGGCTTCCACACCACCGGCCTCCGAGGGACGCCGTCCGCCTGCCGGCGGCAGCTCATACCACACGACGGTAGGGGAATGGTGGTTTGAGCATTTGACAGAAATCCACATTTTTCTAACACAAAAACACCTTGGCACACCTGTATCATTGGGTTCAATTCATGTGCCTTAGTGACCTGACCTGGTATTATCAGTGACCTCTAATAGCAACATATGCACTAGGCAACTGACGCCCTATCGCTGATTTTCGATAAAATGCGTTTTACTCGATGATATAGCGCATTTTCTAGAAGACCCGTGAACGGCAAAACATTTTATCTTTGACCTGACTTGTGACGCCATCGGTGACCCTGAGGCCAATGAAATTGGAGTTCCATCAACAAATTTGACAGGGCTTTCGAGCGCCGTTTGAATTTTGCGGATCCGTCCGGTAGTTTCGGAGATACGAGGGGGCAAGGAATAGGGGGGGGGGGCCTATTCCTTATAGGGGCCCTATTGAGGGGGCCCCCTCCCCCCCCCCCACCACCACCAGGGCACGGGTTAAGGTGGGATGGTCACTTTAAGTGCTTCTGGAAAGGGCCCCGAGTGTTTCACCAGGTCTGACGGCGCGGCGGCGTGCCGTACATACGGTATACAAATGCGGGCACACGGGCCATCCCGCCTGCATTGAGGAGAGCTGTGCGGGGGCACGTCGGGCAGTTCAGGACGGCCGTCAGGGCCGTCAGCCAGCTGTCAGTAGATATGTCATTTACAAGGCAGACCAGTCGCAGAGGAGCGCTCTTCCAGGGCATGCCACGCTCACAGCTCATTGTTTTGTAGTCGGCCCCCACATTGATCGACCTGCCGTCAGCCGGCTGCTCTCAGACGGCACATCTGTGATGCATATGTAAGCACGCGCAGGACTCAGAAGGCACCGACAAATGCATGTTTATAGGACGGGACTGACATCAGTTTCGAATTCGACTTAACCTTCGCCCCAGTGGGGGGGGGGGGGGGCATATGTTACCACCCTGTCGCGTTTTTTTTTTTCGTGTGAATAAAAAACCGCGCCGCGCCGCTTGGAGTAGCTTTTTGAACATCAATTTTGGACAATGTGTGAAATTTTTGACCCCAGGTCATGTCAGGTCAGGTCACCAGGTCAAGTTAACTGACCAAGCCTAAAAAAGTTTGCAATCACGCCCAGCCTGCGATGTTTGCCAGAGAGGTTTTAAACTTGGTGGATTGCATGATGTTATGGGCGCCTACAATTTTTATATCTCGGATTTTTTATATCGGTGACCTAAGGTCAGGTCAGTGGCGTGACCTTTCCATTATAAGTCGATGGAGAAAAACGAAAATGCCTCTAGATCCTTGTGTACGCATAGGAACAGTCCAAATATTTCAGAATCACAATAATTTGGACCACCCGTGACGACCAGGGTGTCTTTTTTGCTGATAGCCTCTAGAAAGGTCATCCGAGGTCATTTGAGGCTACAAACAGATTTTTGCCAATAACTCTCGATTGGAAAGAGATAGAACACTGGGGATGGTCTCATTGTGTTTGTTATGCCGAGACGCATCGACTGATATGCAACATGACCTTTTCCGGTCAGGTCATGACCTTATTGAGTTCGATCCCTGCCTGCATATTACTTTTTAACCCGCGCCGGGCCGGTGCTCCGCGACTTCCGCGCCGGGCCGGGGAGGTGTCTGAACATCCCCCCTCGTCTAACTCGGCTCCTGGGCCACGTAGCAGCACGCGGTAAGCGGCATTCGAAAGAGCGTCAAAAATAATGACGGAATAGCTTCAGTCATTTTTTGGGTCAGATCAAAGGCCAGCAGGTCGCCAGAGGTCATCAAAGGTCAAATGTAGGCCATTTCAACAATTTTGGAAACTGCCAATGGCTAACTCGGGAACCAATAGAGCTACAGCGCCGCGGAAAGCGCATTCGATTGCTCTTTCATAGACTTTTCTGAATAATGTACTAAGATTTGACCTCAGTTCAACGGTTTAGCCTCCAGAGAGCAAAAACTGTAAAAATAGCCGTTTTCATCAAAAACAGTTTTTCGGTAATAACTTTTAATTCAAGCAAGCTCCACGAAATTACTTTTGCCAGCATCGTGTTCCTCTCGTCGAGACGTGTCGAATGAACTTTTCGCTGACCTTGAAAGGTCATTTTGAAAATTTGACCTCAGGTCAAGGTCATCACCTGGCCGGAAAGGGTCATGCTGCATATCGGTCGATCCGTATCGCCGAACTGAATACAGCTGACGTGTTTTCATCGCTCTAGCACGTCTCTATCAAAAGTTATAGCCAAAAAACTGCTGGTGACCGTTCATGACCTAAGATGACCTCAGGGGCACACAGAGGTGTCACCGATGCATTTTTCCGATTCAGTGTGTCATGTTTACCCATGAACCGATGTTTGAGAGGGTTTTGAACATCATTCGTCCACAAGAGGCGCATTTCAATTTTCTCCCATTGACTTATAATGGAGAGATCGTAAAATTGACCTGGCCTTAGGTCACCGATATCAAAATTCCGAGATACGAATTTTGTACATCCTGTTACTCTTATAAATCGCTGAAAGTTTCAAGGCGATCGTTCAGCCAGCCGCTGTAGCTCTGACGAGGATTGGAACTTTTTCTGAGGTGAGGTCACTTGACGTGACCTAGTGACCTGACCTTGAAAGCCCTGGGTCTGAAATTTTCATAACATATGTGGAAAAGACGCATTAAGAGGTGTGCTAAAAACGGCGGCGCTTCGGGCCGCCGTTTTTGAGATATCTGCGAAAAACCGCATGAGGGATGTTCAAACACTCCCCCCCCCCCCGGCCCGGCGCAGGTTAAGAATTTTAATTTGTAGATGCACTGCCGGGAGAGTCTCTGGTCGACACGATCTCACAGGTCCCCATTTCCATTGTAAGTAGCTGGTGGTTCATTGGTGAGCGTCCGACAGAGCTCTGCTAGTCTGACCTGACCCGAATGTACCCTGGGTCTGACCGTGGTGTCGCCTCCGCCCTGCAGCGACACCTATACCTCACCAGCTGGCGCCGACAGCGGCACCTGTTAGCCACGAGCGTTGATTGATTACGTGACAAAAGATCGTAAGACAAAAGATCGTAACGTTACGTTCGTAAAGTAGATAATCGTATAGAATAGTGTTGTTACGAGCGAGCGAGCGCAGCGAGCGAAGCGATGTCTTTTGAATATAACGGGAAAATCTCAGTATGAGATATGCCCGGCCCGGCCCGGCCTGTAAAGGCCTGGCTACACTATGCGTTTTCTGCGTGCGTTTTTTGCGTGTTTGCGTGATTTGCGTAATATCGTTCTAGAAGAAAGCTATATTTAATAAAACTTTTACATAAGTTATGTATAAAAGGTAATGCAATTCTTATATTAGCTAAAATTGAGTATGAAAAAAGCAGTACAAAAACGTAATATCGTTTTTTACTAGCACAATATCACGCAAAAGACGCAAACACGCAAAAAACGCACGCAGAAAACGCATAGTGTAGCCAGGCCTTAACGCTTTTGAGAGGCTTATATCTCAGCAACCTCTGAACCGACTAGCCTGCGGTCTTTTTTGCTGGGTAGCCCCAACCCTTCTTCCCCGTAATTGACTACTTTTGATACATCTCAGTGGCCGTCGTGGCACGTGCCACGTGAGAAGTCAAGGGTGTTCAAGCAGTTTTGCAAAAGTAATGATTTTGAGAGGCCCATATCTCAGCAG